TGTGGAACGGCTGCTCTGGGCCCAGCCGGCAAGGCCTCTGCGCTTTGTCTCACCTCACATCCGTAAAGACTCCCATCACCCAGCTCCAGAGAGAAAAGCCAGGAGCGGCAAGGCGGAATCTGTGTTTATTTCCCTCGTTCTCAACAGCTTCCGATCCCTGCAAGAGCCGCTTTGGTAGCGGCTGAGCTTCAGCGGTTCTGTACACAGAGCGTCCTGGCTGAGTGATGCACCAGAAGGGCTTGCATTGCCAACGTTAGCCCTGGCTGTTTTGGCAATCGGAACAATTGCACCGGTCACAGCCTGCTTTTTGTTATCTCTGTGAAAATGTTCCTAAGGGAGAAAGCAGCGAGATGCTCAGTCAGTGATCAGAACTTCAGCGATGGAGATTATGCTCTCATTCAGTATGCCAGCCTCTGAAACCGCCCTTCCTTACATGAAATTTATGTAAATAAGATTGCCAGTTCCTTGGGTTCTCCGGCAGGGGAATGGAATAATATTTAGAAGGAAAATCTGGATGATGGCAGGATTCAGATTTAACCTTTAAGACAGAGTTATACTGAGCTGGATAGGATCCAATAGCATCCTATTTGAATGTGGTTTCTTCCTCCAATTAATGCTGCTGAAGTAAGGACCACAGTGCTCCCCACAGCCTCCTTTCAGCTTCCTGTGCTGGGTTTTCCAAGCAGTCCCTGCTGGCTGGGCACCCTTGGAAGGAAAGGACACAGGTGGACAAGCAAGGAAGATCCCTTGCAACAGGGAGGGCTGCCCACAAGCCAGGCTCTACCGGAAAGCGTGCGGCCGGCAGGCCAACAGAAGCCATCGCTCATGCTCCTCCCCGCAGCAGCGCGTGCAGGGCCACAGCCGGAGCAGCATCATCTCTGGGCTCCCCACTGTGGGGGGACACGGAGCGCGGGAGGACGGAGCACTCGACGCATGAGAAAGGAAGAGAGCGCAGCAGCTGTGCAGCCTGGAGAAGGTCAGAGGTGGGGTGAGCGAAGCACCGGCTCAGCTACCTAACAGGGAAGACGGACGGCTCCTTGCAGACACGTACAACAGGAGGATGAGGGGCAACAGCCATAAGCTGTAGCCATGGAAATTTGACTGCAGGAAAAAAGACGTAGTGAGGGTCAAGTACTGGAATGGATGACCAGGAAGGCTGCAGAACCCATGTTCTTGGAGATACGCACCTGGACAAGGCCTGAGCAACGGGAGCGAACTTGTAAGGCAACGGTGCTTTCGGCAGGGGGTGAGACCAAATGCCCTTCCAGCCCAAAGGGTTCTATTCATCTTCAGCTTCAGGAGCAGAAACACAGTTTATTACATTTATCTGTTTCGTTGTCTCTAGTAATTACTCTTTATTTGGAAGTCAAGCACTATCTCCTGAACTACGAAAACACGAAAGCCAGAAGGATACAGGTTCCTGGGCGTGCACACAAAGCAGGGGTCAACCCTTCGTCAAGATTCACTCTAAAACACTCGGCACAAACCAAGCACACACTGTCTCAAGAGTCGTTCCTCCTCCCATAAAGCTGCCCTGGATACCAGAGAGCCCGTGTCCTTTCCCCTTCCCATAAAGCTGCCCTGGATACCAGAGAGCCCACTCACTAGCCCGACCCAACCGACACCTCCTCTGAAAGCTGGTGTACGTGGCTCTGTCAGACCAAAAACTGCTGGGAAGGAATCTAAAATCCTGTCCTGTTCTCCAGTACTGCTCTTTTGTTACACAACCAGGCAAGTCCTGGGGGAAAAAAAGCGAGTCGTTATAAAAAACTGTACATTCCTAAAACCAAAAACACCCCCCGAGTTTCTATGCACGTCACACCCGCCCACTATCCAAGGCCTGACATAAAATTACTTAAAGTAACCAGAACCACAATGCATATATCTTCTAAGTCTGAACACAGATCAGCAATTATCTATGAAGAAAACAGCAATCTTCCTGCCAAAACCACAAATCCTACTTTTTCTCTCCCCTCTGCCCCATTGTCAGAGCAGCGTAACTCAAAAAGCTTCTCCTTACTAATTCAGGCCAAAGAAAAAGATGTTTCAGTGACACTTTATTAAAGTAATTTTTCAGGTTTCACCCTCCCCCCTCCACACACGTGCAAATTTCTTGTTCTGGCAGGAAGCTACAGACCAAATTGAGGTGGAAAACAGTTGTAGGGGGAAAAAAAAGAGAAAGCCAGAAATTACTTTATAAACGGACACATGCTGCCTTACAGCGGTCCCTTTAGTAGCCAAACGGCTCGCCAGCACCGCGCGTTCTGTAATATCACAACGGCACACAACGCACTTCGCGTGTGATTGCAAAACCAGCAGCACTCTGGAGCCAAGCGCACGGTTTAATATTATAATAATGAGCCTGCTTCAATGTAGTGGATTTTAATAAGGCTTTAATAATACTGGTATGAAGCCAAATTACATAATGTCCCAAAACATGAAACAAAGCTTTTACAGAGCAGATAAAAGCTCACTGAAGTAAAACCACAGTTAAAAAAAAAAAAAAAACAACGAACCAAAGCAACTACCAATGTTATCTAAACAAAGCCATTAGGCATATTTAATTTAAAAAAATCAAATTAGAGAAAAGGAACTCAAATCTATTCCCAGCTCTCAAGATCAAATTAAAAAGGATATTATTTTAGGCAACATTTATGAAAATGAAGGTACTACGCCAGCCCTGGGAAAGAAGCTAACACCGTAATTACCTCTTTTGGCACAGATATGGATATGGGTTGACTATCTCCAATTTCTCTCCGAGGACAAAAAATTGCTCAGTTACCTTATAGGTTGATTTTAAGCCTGAACTATGTTGGATTGTCTGGAAACAGCTAGACCAATAAAATAATTTCCTTCTACACATGAAAACTAACTCCAAGTAAGAGTTCCAAAGGTAAAGAGCCCAGTGATTTACCCCCTTCACCCCCTCCATTTCTGGAGTCTTGGGAAAACAAAGACTTGAAAGCACCTGTAAAGCTCAGTCCGGCACGGACCGTTCTGGGAAGAGCCTCCTCCCTCACCCTGCCCCACGTCTGACAGTGTCAGAGAGCAATGCAAGGGAAAACGGGTATTTGCTGGGTAACGCACGCAGAATATCCCGCATCCCTTAAGCCGTACAGCCTTCTAAAATCTTAGTGTTGTTCTAGTCGGAAGATTAGTATTTGCAGGGATAACCTTGTTAGGATCAACTACTTAGCTCCACATATCCAACAGAGAGATCAACATACATTAGCGTATTCCAACGTACGACCGGTTACAGTAAGTACAACTGCTAAACCGAGTCCAAATCAGAGCTGACAGCCCACCGGAGCACGTGGGGACGGATACAGCAGCGATCGGCACGGCCTTCTTTGCATACATTAGATCGGCTCATCTACATATCTCTAGGTTTTGATGAAGGCATTACAAAATTTTAAGTAGATTTGGATTCCACACGCAAGACGAAGCGAGGGGGACATTTTATACCTTGGATTTCTTAGAAGTCTGCTTTAGCTACAGAAGCCATTAAAAAGTTGCGAGTAACTTCAAGATGAAAGGCATTAGCAGCTTTTTAGAAAAGGATAATCACGGTCTTCTAGAGACTTAATGAGACTTAATTCACAGAAGCTTTTGACTTGGTCTGCTGTTAATTGAATCAAAGTCAATGACGATCTTGTTACACTTTGGCTTGAATTCCCTAAAAAAAAGAAAAATACAGGTAACTAGTTAACGTAGTTAAACATTTTGCCTGCTCAGATAAATTTTTGAAGGAATAAAAAAAAACCCCAAACCCTCCTCCTTGGATTCACACAGTTTTCATCTCTATGGGAGCCAATTATAGTGCACCACACTGAGAGGAACCTGGACAAGAAAGACTAAGACAAAAAAGACGCAGGGGGTGGGTTAGCCTGTACATTCTCCGGCTATCGGAGTTCATAAATTACCCAGGAGTCAAAGGACTTTTAACAGCTTCGCTGCAGGTGGCGGCATTGTGCGAGCAGGGATTTTTGGTCATAGATGTTTTATATTTCAAGTATGTACAGACATATTTACAGACACGGCGAGGCACACAGGTACCGACAAAGGCCCCTGAACACGCCGTGTGTGTGTTACAGATGCACGTATGTGTGCGTGGATGCACACACAGACGATAGCTGGAGTGTATTTTGGTAAATATTTTGATCGCTTTTTCCCTGCCAAGTTTTCCAAGAACACGTTCAAACTTTGCCTCAGTATGTTAAAATATGTTTTGTGCTAGGGGAATAGATCCCATTATGCATCATATTGGGGAAGAACCAAGCTGGTTAAGAGGGAATAATTTAAAAATTGTAACTTTAGAACGGTAAAATTAATACTGCCACAGAATGTTTCCTTTTATTATCATTAGAGCATCTGCTACAGCAATTAGCAAGGAAGGTATTCGGGGACCGAGCATGTATTTTCCAGTCTACCAGTAAACAAAGGATTATGCAAATAGTGTGGATTTAGTGCCTAATTAAGCTCTGCAATTCTGTTCGAAAGATTCATTAAGTACCACCTACATCCTTAAAAATCAATCCAAGAATGAATTAACAGGCGGCACAGAAAAGCACAGGCTGCTGACCACAGAAAACCCCGCAAGCTCCGTCCAGAACAGCACTCTGAAACGCAGGAAACATTTCTCACCCTGGAGAAGTTACCAGAGTTGACTTGCAAGAGAATGATTTATGCTTCTTAGTCAAACAGTCTTAGCAGACAGGTAATACACGGAAGGACTAAAACTGAATTTCAAGTACTGCTGTGTTTTTTCATGGATGCTTCTTAGCCCAGTAGGTACCTTTCATCCTAAAATTTTATCTGTCAGATTTGTTCTGTTTGCAAATTTTCCAAAGTCTTTCGATTAATATTGTAAAACTTTTTTGAGTTGCAAAGCCTCCCTGACTGCATAATTAGCCTCACCCACAGCATGTTATTGCTATTAAACTAGCTGTTGAACAGATTGTCTTCAGGTGTCTCTGTCAGTGTCTTTAAAGACCCCACTCTCGAAATATTTTTCAAATTCTCATTACTTTAAGGCAAATAGTTCAAGTCTTAACCTTTTCCCACAAGAAAAGCCGATCGAAGAAGGCTGGACAGCTATAGGCACCTAGAATTAATTACAGATGGCTGGTTTGACACCTTCCCAAACTGACTGCAACACAAAGATACTAAACTTTCAGTAAGGATCAGGTAATCCACAAAAAAAACCCCATCAATTGGTCGTTTCAGTCCAACCCACCAGATCAGAGGGTAATTCAGGTTGTAAGGGATGTCAAGAGGTCACCAAGTCCAACCTCCTGCTCAAAGCAAGCTCACCGATGGCTCCCCCAAGTACAATGGAACAAATAACCATCACACTGGCAATTTTACCTGCAGTCCAGGAATGAAATGATTTCAAATGGATCATTTTCTCATACAAACGTTACGGCATTGAAATTTAATCATACAGAAGGTAAAAAGAAAGGTACGACGGTCCATCAATCCCATATCTTTTGCAGGCATGCACAGCAAGCCAGCTACAAACACTGCCAAGGAATAAAACGCTGCACGATGCAAAGAAGAAAAACTTTTGCCCTGAAGTTGGTCTCTTTCACACACAGTCTTCTTCCTTCCCAAAATAAAAATAGAGTTAATCCCAAGTTCCCTTACCTGTATATGATACCTGCTAAATCAAACATCCGCCGTGCAGCTGTCATTTCCGTAGTGTCATGATACTTGTCAGACATAAAAATTACTTCCTTTATGCCTACAGGAAAGCATAGAGAAAAGATGTTAGAATTACACTGTAAAAAATGAAAAAGAAAGCAACGTCCTAAAAAAGTGGTGCACAAAATCAGAAACAGCAGCATTCATCCACGTACTCTAGAACTCCTTGGTACACCCCTACCCCCCGCAATACCACAGGTTGCACTTGAGAATAAGGCTATGTAAGGCAGAGCTGCTTTGGAAGACAGCTCTTTCAAAAACTTGGGATTTTTTTTTTTCTTCAATTTCACCTACGTTTAACTCAGAACAAAAAACTCGCAGGCAAAAACACAACATAGACAGACTAGAAATTAAGTGTTTTTGCATGTGTAATTTAAAACTTAGCTTTCTAATTCTCTAATATAGATAAAACGCCCTGCAAAGAACTTAAACCCCAAATCCTATTCCGCTTCCAAATGCACAGCTATAAAAGGATGCTTTTTCCCCCTCTTGTTCTCTGTTTTACAAATACCTCCCAGTCTCAGTTCAAATCCTCATAAACGCACGCTGTTTCAAATTGCTGAATGATCTATACCTAAATTACTTAAGCAGGAGAGAAGCGTAAAGGCCGCCCCAAGAGAATTCACAAGCCTTTCAGAGCCTATCAACATCCTGCTGTATTTACCAGACAACACACACCCCGATACGTTGCAATTTTGTGCTGACCTAAGTGCGCAGGGATGAGCGACTACACTGAGAACAGGCAGCCAATCGACCTCGAAGACAATTTGATTTTCAGTCTGTAAATAAGAGGAATGTAGCACAAATACAGAACAGCATCGTCTTTGCCCCGTCACCTCTCTTCATTTCAAACCTTACTGACCAAATAAAGCAGCATCCTGTTTGTACTTTCTCCCTAGATTCCCATAGCCAGCAGTGGAGAGGGAAACTCCCCAGAGCAGGGATCCACGCTGGGTTTGCAAGACTTTACTCAACGGGCGAAATACATGCTACCTGAAGCAGAGGTTTTGGCAGGACTGAAGCCTACAGCAGATATGCCTCAGCTGAAAGAAGGCGACACATTTAGGCCAGCACACTCGCTGCAGTGGCAGAGATTTATAACAATTGTAATGAAAGACATAATTAAAGTAGGATCATAGAAGCCTTATGACATTTATGAGCAAAGATATTTTAAAATCTTCAAATATCTACCATGCATCACATTCAAATTAAAATTTCATGTATATACTCCCAACAGACCTTTTGTCATGCAGAAGTTTATTTCTTTCTGCCCTACTCTATTCAATGTGTCAGAGCACAGTAAAATTGACAGTAATTATATGCAAAGCCTGTGTTGTTCTTTGGCAGCTCCTGGCCTACGAAGTTACAAACCTAAATTAGAAGCACGCTTAGAATCACAGAAGATGCAATTAGCACTGGAAAAATTTGGCACCATTCAGATGCAAAAAAACCCCACAAGTAGCATCTTAGGAAGTTGACAGTGCAATTAATTTAGACCTAACAGCAGCAATCTAACATCAACTACGTCCGTGATAAGATACCAGCGAGCAGGCAGCGCTGCAACCCTGACAAATCAAGCTGGCACTACTCCTTACCTGCCTGGATGATGAGCTTTGCACATTCATTACACGGAAATAGGGCAACATACATGCTGCAGCCTTTCACGTCAGCTGAGTTTTTGTTCATGATGGCGTTCAATTCGGCATGGCACACTGATTGAAAAAAAAAAGGGGGGAAAAGAAACAATTCATAATCCCGTTCATTAAAAGAAATCAGTCAAACTAAAATGGAAGTGTTGCAGTGTAACAGCTCACATCCTTTCAAAAGCAAATAGCTCGCACAGCTTGTCATAAAGGGCAGAGGAAGAAATAAAAGTAGAAACACCAAGATCAATGAAGGTCAATTGTTCTGACCAGGCTGCCCATTAGTAATGATATCATTAGGCGTATTAGCATTGCCATTTGCTAACACCTATTGCAAGCAACAAAGCCCTAGGCTGTGGGCCAAGTAGTTGCAACCACCCTAAGTGAAGCAATATCTCACAGCTTCACAACTCTCTGGAGTATCTAATTGCCAGTATAAAATAGCTCATTTATGTGTTTACATGCCCAGATAGGAACGGTCTTAGGGTTATAAGAGAGCGCTGTGCACTCTTCAAGGCAGGAGAATCGCCAAGTAAAACCCAGCGGCTCTGTCCTCTGGGTCTGAGAACGGCTCAGCGCCGCTGCGCCACTCTCACCCCCAGAACACACGAGACGCTCTCAACCATAAAAACGTCCCAGCTTTAATATTAAAGTGAGTTTTCTGCTCATTAAAAGGTGCCAGACTTCCCAAGCAGGAAAACAAAGTCCTCTATTTCTCCGTGGATTTAAGACGGGCCAGGTCGCAACAGACTACCCTGCCTTATTCCAGCGTAACACAATAGCTCTTTCCGGACAGATCGCACCTTAGGGTTTAAGTTTTTATGCTGTAAACATCAGCAGATTATCTAATGTGTTACCAACACAGGTGAGAAAAGCAGAGTTTCTGTGTCATCCACCACGAGCCTCTGAAAAAAACATTAGGATCTCAGCGAGAACTTCCTGTTTACTCCCAGGAATGACAGCAAGTTGCATAATTTATAGACCTGCCTCCTAAGAAACTGCCTGCTGCCCTGCCTTACTTCATAAACAGGTGCTGAAGTGTGGTGTGGGTTCGAGCTCATCTAGAGACCTGCATGTGCAGACAACATTAAGAGTTTTTCCACTGCTTGTTTAGAAGAACAGAGTGGAAAAACCCAAAGTTTTCCTCCCCGCTGCATACACGGGAAGGTTAAAAGCGGCAAAGTTAGGAGCACGGGTTCACAGTGTACGTGCTCCCAGGTACTGACCGCCGCGTGCAGGGGCTCACCACGCGAAGTACAGCCGAGCGCGGTACCTTCAACACACAGGAAGCCTTGCTGAACGGGAACGTTTTCCGTGCGCGCTAAACGTCTGTATGGAATTTTCTGTGTAGCGGCTAACGCCCGCAAACGTGCGGCCTAAAGCTCTCCAAAGGCAGACCAGTCACAAAGGACCAAACACTTGCTCAGGAAAGCTCAGGGTGGACTTGCAGAAGCAGCCCCCAGCCTCACTGTGAGCACGTTGTCCACACACCGCCTCATAAACAGGAAAGCCAGAAATGAGCGTTAGAAACAGGCAGTTAAAGGACAAGGAACCCTCGGGCACCATCACATTAAGGTTTCCAGTGCTATCAGTACTGTTTCTATTGCAACTGTAATTGGGTCACACCGTATCTTAAACATACGCCGTGATACGAACCTATGCATTCAGAAAACCCAGGAAACACATTCAACTCCAAGTATATTACTGAGTTGCACTAATCTCACGTAGTCTTCACAATAAATAGCCAGAGAATTGGGTTTTGGGGGTTACAGAGGAGCGAGTGAAAAACTGGCATAATTTCTGCAACTGGAACTAGGTTACATCAACAGGACAGAAACACCACATTTAAGTTTCTTTGAACAATACACTTATGTTCTAGGCAACAGCCTAAAATTCAGAAGGCCTCCAGGAAGCAGGATGAGGCAATGTTTTCAAAGACTCGCAGAACTGAAAAAAAACCCCAACCCTAATTCCTTCAGTAAATATTTTTCCTTCACTAAAACTCAGAAGTCTTCAGCCACAAACCCAGGCAAGTTTCATTATTAGTACTGAAAAAAGTTTCCTTCCTGTGCTGATGAGGAAGAAAAGCTCTTTCTGCAGACTTCTACAAACTTCCAACAGCAAACCTCTTCCCAAGAAAAAACAAGTTCAGGCCAAAAATAACTGTAGAAGAAGATAATCAGCTGGAGTGAGGGAAGAGGGAAATCTTGCCTCCTGATCATCTTAACACAATCTGAAGTTCAAAACAATTAGGGCTCTCCGGTGTGGAAAGAAGGCACAGAGACAGTAAGAAGGAAGAAACAGAGACTCATCATTCCAAGACACAAAGTAGTGGGGTCTCCAAGACCCACAGCAGCCTTTCGTTTCTCAGACAAGAGGAGGTGGGTGTTTCACTCACAGTCACCTATCCCAGCATTTCTTACTGCATTTACCGCCAAAAGTAGCACAGGACCCCAAGCTCACACTGAGTCGCCTTTTTCCTTACAGGATTTCTGGGGTTTTTAGTCTACTGGGCAATTAAATAAAAACCCATTTTGGCTCCGTTGTTGGAACTTGGAAGAAGATTCGGGAGAACTATCACTACACGTGTCTTGTTTTATACATTTCCCTAGGCAGCTGCTACTGACCCCTGTAAGGGTTATCATGCTAGATGGTCCTTAAGAATGTATGGGCATCAGACAAATATTTTTAGGCTTTGTCCCAACACTATTCATTCCCTCTCCCTCTGGTAAAGAGGCATTGACTGTTAACTGATTTATAGATAAGACAGTGTATAATCCCCAGATTCTTCTTACAGACCTGCTCAGCTTTGTACAGAGCATCAGTGAGAGACAGAAACCAAAGAAGTATTGGTGTTTATATGGGGGTTGTGTGGCAAGGGTTTAGTAGCTTGGGGGCCACAGGGGAGGCTTCTGTGAGAAGCTGCTGAAAGCTTCCCCTGTGTCTGACAGAGCCAATGCCAACTGGCTCCAAGGTGGACCCGCCACTGGCCAGGGCCAAACCAACCAGCAATGCTGGGAGTACCTCTGGAAAAGTGTATTTGGGTGGGTAGGAAACTGCACAGGAGGAATTGCAGAGAGAGGAGAGAGATGGGAGAGCAACAGCTCCACAGACCCCAAGGTCAGTGAGAAGGA